AGAATATCGCGGAGCCGAAATGACGCGTGCTTTACTCTAACAAGATCATCCCCTCTGTCATCATAATTAAAGACCATTTGTACCCGACCCCATCTTTCATTGCGGAACGATATAGATTCAGCTTGAGAAATCAGTTAGAAAACGAGAGTGTTTCCCAGTATATCGCGCAATTAAAGCATTTATCGACACATTGCGAATTTGGCGCGAATTTAAATGACTATCTACGAGATCGCCTGGTTAGCGGCATCAGAAGTGATTCAATGAAGCAGAGACTTTTATCGGAATCAAATTTAACATTCGAGAAGGCAGTGCAGATGACGTCACAGTTCGAGATGGCGGAGAAGAGCGCGGCGTCACTTTCGGCGGGAAGCAGCGATGGTCACGGCGGGAGGATCCAACGCATGGCGGCGGCATCAGCTTCAGCTTCACCACGCCCATCAGGTCAGCAACCCCGCCCACGAGGTTCAGCGCATCACAACACCGGAAGAAGTAGACAACAGCAACAGCCAACATCGTCAACAGCGGCGTCGGCGTCAACGTCAAATGATAGAGTGCAGTGGCAGTGTTTTTGTTGTGGTGACTTCGGTCACATCGGCAGGAATTGCCGTTTTAAAGGTTCGACATGTCACAAGTACGTTAAGAAAAATCATTTAGCAAAAGTGTGTCGATCTCAGCAAAACAGTAAGTCACAGTTTCAGTTCCGTAGTAATAAGAGTGATTTTAGATATAATAGAAATAAGCAGCATAACTATGTAGATGAGGTATCTGATGATGTAAGCGTAAATGATGATATTGAGGAGAGTATAGGTAATCTGTTTGAAATTAGTGAAGGGTCCAGTAAAATAACTAAGGTAGATCCTTTCAAAACAGAGGTTATTCTTGAGAACAAATCAGTAACTTTTGAAGTTGACACGGGTGCTTCGGTAACTGTAGTAAGCGAGGCTTATTACAAAGATAATTTGAGTGCTTTGAAATTGTTTCCTACTGACATAAGGTTAAGCTCGTACACTAATGTGCCAATTTACCCTGTGGGTAAGCTAGAGGTAAATGTTCAGTTCAGAGATAAAAGCAGGACCTTAGACTTGTACGTAATTAAGGACGGAGCTCATCCCCTTATGGGACGAGACTGGATAAGGGAGTTAGGAGTAGAAATTTCTTTCAAAAATGTTGAGGAATTATTTGTTGCTAAAACTGAATCAAAGAGTAAACATGACAGTTTAGTTAAGGAACTAGTAAATGAGTTTCCGGAAGTTTTCTCAGATCGTTTGGGGCAGTGCAATTGTAAGCCCGTAAGGCTGGTTGTAAAAGAAAATGCCATTCCCAAATATCATCGACCCAGATCACTACCCTACACCCTTAAGGCTAAGGTAGAAAAAGAACTAGAACGTTTGGTGGAGTCCGATATTTTAGTCCCAGTTTGCAGTTCAGAGTACGGATCGCCTATTGTGCCAGTTCCTAAAAAGGATGGTAGCATTAGGATTTGTGGGGACTTTAGGCATGTTAACGCACAATTAGAAATTGATAGGTACCCCATTCCTAGGGTCGAAGATTTGTTTACAGAACTACAAAAAGGGGAATTTTTCAGTAAGATCGATCTAAGTCAAGCCTATATGCAGTTAAGATTAGATGAGTCATCACAAAAGCTGTGTACAATCAGTACACACAAGGGGTTGTTTGCGTACAAAAGATTGCCTTATGGCATAGCATCAGCAGTAGGTATCTTTCAAAGAGTCATCGAACAAGCTTTGCAAGGGTTGCAAGGTGTGAAATGTTTTTTGGACGATATAATTGTATCAGGACCTAATGACGAAGTACATTTAAATAGACTAAGGGAAGTTTGTTCACGCCTCAAGGCTGTAGGTTTCACAGTGAAACAAGATAAGTGTAAATTTTTTGCATCAAAATTGGAGTTTTTGGGGTTTACTATAGACAAACATGGGCTTCACACCTCGCAAGCCAAGATAAAAGCGATTGTCGATGCCCCTGTACCGAGAAATGTGACAGAAGTAAAATCATTTGTGGGTCTAGTCAACTATTACTCTAAGTTTGTCCCCAATATTGCGGGTGTTTTGAGACCTTTGTATGACCTTTTGAAGAAAGATGTAGAATTTTGTTTTGATGACGAGTGTATGAAATCGTTTAAAAAAGTTAAAGAGCTATTGTGTACGGCTCCTGTGCTAGCACACTATGACCCCCAAGCACCAGTAATACTAACAGTAGATGCAAGTAACTATGGTCTAGGTTGTATTCTCAGTATAATAGACAAAGACGGTGCTGAAAAACCAGTAAGTTTTGCATCACGTACATTGAACCAAGCAGAGCAAAACTATTCACAAATTGATAAGGAGGCATTAGCTGTAGTTTATGGTGTTAAGAAATTCCACCAGTATTTGTACGGGAAGCATTTTACCCTTAAGAGTGACCACAAACCCCTTATTAGTATTTTTGGACCTAAGAAAGGCTTGCCTGTGTTCGCAGCCAGTAGATTACAGAGATACGCCCTGTTCCTGTCAGGGTATGATTTTGACATAAAATATGTTAGGTCAGACAACAATAGCGCCGATGCGTTGTCTAGGTTACCGCTTAAAGTGTCCCCAGTAGACGAGGAACCCGAATTTTTGTGGTTAGGTACTTATTTACACTTTGTTAAAGAGAGCTCAGTACCAGTGACATGTGATCAAATTAGAGTAGAAACACAAAAAGACCCGTTATTACGGAGAGTGTTAGGCTATGTCATGTTTGGGTGGCCAAATTTTGTCCCTAAAGAGGAATTTGAATTGTTCCCATTTTATCAGAGGAGGGAGGAACTAGCTGTCGAGCAAGGTGTTTTGATGTGGGGGTACAAGGTAATTGTTCCTAGTAGTTTGAGAAGTTATGTTTTGAATGAACTTCATGCGTCTCATCTGGGCATAACTAAAATGAAGTCTGTTGCGCGTTCTTATTTTTGGTATCCAAGTCTAGACAAAGACATAGAGAACCTTGCTAACAGCTGTTCGTCCTGTCTTCTTGAAAGACCAAATCCTAGTAAAGCCGAATTGCATCATTGGCATTACCCGAGTAGACCATGGGCTAGGTTACATGTAGATCACTTAGGCCCATTCAAGGGAAAGTTGTATCTGATAGTAGTTGACGCACATTCAAAGTGGCTGGAAGTTTTCGAAACTAGTTTGACTTCAGCCAATCACACTATAAATCACCTTCGTGATTTGTTTGCACGGTTTGGTTTGCCAGAGTCAATCCATAGTGACAACGGTCCTCCATTCAGTTCAATGGAGTTTGCCTCATTCTTGAAACATAACGGTATCAAGCACACAACATCGGCTCCGTACCATGCTCAAAGTAACGGACAGGCCGAGAACTCGGTTAAGTATGCTAAGTCAAAGTTAAAATGTGCATTTAGGGAAAATGTAAATACTTCTGTAGCCTTAAGTAGAATCCTTTTTGACTATCGCAATTCTAAGCACATGACCACTAATGAGACACCTGCTATGTTAATGTTTAACAGACCTTTGAGAACCCGATTAGACCTACTCAGACCTAATTTGTCTGAGACTGTAAATAGACAACAACAAGCTCAAAAGATGTATGCTAGGGGTAGTAAGACTCGATATCTGTTTGAAAACCAAAATGTATTGATTAGAGATTATAGATCTAAGGATAAGTGGATTGAAGGATGTGTGGTTAGACAGATAAGTCCAACTATGTATATAGTTAAGTTAAGTTCGGGTGTTACGTGGAAAAGACACATTGATCAGCTGATAGCTATCGACAGTGGCCCAGTGTTGACATCAGATGCAGACAACAGGCCCACGGCAACTACAGTCATCGCGCGCCCAGCTGTTCAGAGTACACCAGCTGAGCGTGACGTCAGTCCTATGACGCGCGAGCTTCCGGGACATAGTACGCGCTCGTCCCTCTCTCCCACCACTCCGCGGCGCTCTATGGTTCCACAAACAGCTGATCGCAACTCACCACCAGCTGTACACCGTACACCTGTACAACACCGTACGTCCACTACACCACAGAGACGTTATCCCATGAGAGCTAGGAAACCAGTCGAGAGAATAGATTTATAATTAGTTTGTTTTGTTGTCATATAACGGTTGTTGTGTTTGTGTGTTGTTAGGTTGTTTTATTTATGTATTTGTTTGTCAGCGTTTATATTCTATCTGTTTACTGATACTGAAATTGAAAAATAATTATTGGTCACATTTTATGGTCAGATTTAAAGGGGAGGAATGTAATATATTTATATAAGTAATATAACAGTTTTTACTATTTAATAATTTACAAGGCTATGTTGGCAATATTTAAATATGTACGTTGAACTGTAACCGTTTGTATTTCCCACTACCAGTTAATAATATTTGAATAAACGAATGCTATTGGACGATCGGGTCACGCCACTTCCCCAACCCATGAGTCCATGTTAACCGACACCTCTACACCTCAGTTATAGCCAGCTTCCATCCTGAGTAACTCCGGCCCGTTCGGTCGTTAGCAGTTTTACAGTGTTAAACCGTAGTGCTTATTAACTTCCCGATTCCCGTAGTGTAAGACGTCAGGGTGACGTAGTGACTTAGTTACAGTGTATAAGGATAGCACCGTGTCAACGAAGGTACGTCAGGGTGACGACACTTCAGTTCGGATTCCACTATAAACTGTGGGTCCCTTAGTTGCCATTGGCTGTATTAATAATTAAGTTAACAGCTGTCTAAGGAACATGTCAGCCTTAGTAAGTAACAAGACTACAAGATCGTGCCACTCATCTTACATTCATCTCCATTCATACTTATATCTATGTACCTTTGTATGGTCGCCATTTAAAATAAAAGTATAATATAACACATGGGTTATAACATTCTAGCGTAGGCCTACAATATAGTAACTTAGTTACCCTTAAAAAAAGAGAAAATCTTAAAATATATAAAGAATTGACAACTAGAAATGTTATGAAATTATTAGGCAACTTACTTAAATAGATGTTGAACCTAATTTACCTTGCATGACCCATGTGAGATGCATCATAAACTGTGGGACCACAACTGTACCACATAACTTTACGTCCTTTCTGAGGTACAAACACTTCTTTCTGTCTGGTTAAACTATTGTACAGCTTAAGAACAGGAGGAGGTTCTGTGTCCCCAACGCTCCATGACGGTTGGGACCGTTTAGCCATTTCGTTTCTGAAAAATTTAATTTAGTTACTACTAGCAGGCTTTATAATATTTACTCAGTGTTAGTTTCATTGTTTAAACTATGTGTTCACTTGACATTTTAGTATGAAAAGTAACTAAATATTAAAGTAATATTCTTCTAACTTGCAATATATGTTTTGCACTTAGATAACATAGGCAGGGTGTCCACAGAAATTTTGTCATCAATTTCCCTGACTTTCCATGACTATCCATGACCATTAACCATTGATTTCCATGACTCACGAACTTAACTCAAAAATTATAATTTACCGTACACACACAAATAATATTGCCTAGACAAGTTATTTCACAGAAAATATTGAAATATGTATTAACAGATAACAATGGGGTACAATAGGTACAACAATGAACTAATACAAACTCAAAACCCATAAACTAAGACAACTGTATAAATTGAAATTGTCGTACATTTGTGAAAAATTCGGAAAAATGCTACAATAGTCGCGGTTACAGCCGACTAGGACTAGAGCATTGAAAGGTCCCCTGAAATCCATCCATTATTGGGGATTTCCATGACTTTCCATGACTTTTTGCCTATTTCCATGACTTTCAATGACCATAATTTTTTTCCATGACTTTCCATGACTATCCCTGACTTTCCAGAATGTGGACACCCTGATAGGTATCACAATAAGTTAGCCTATATTGAGATAAGGCATAGGTATTACAATCTTATTTTAATACTAGGCCTACTTGTCAACTCAATTCATTAGACGGGTAGACTTCCGTATTTGTTGGCACAAACAACCGAATGAAAATATTGATCGATATATCGTTTAATTATTAGGTAAGGTTAACCTAACCTAACTAACTAAACAACAATCAAATAATCAATATTTTCATTCGGTTGTTTGTGCCAACAGATACGGAAGTCTACCCCATTAGACTACCCACTGAGCGTCTAGTTATTCAAATATACCAAGTAAGAATTGGAATATATGTATAGATGTCTCAAGTTCCAAGCAGTGCTAGGGCTTAAAAATAATTATAGAAATAAGCATAAGCCACAACATGTGTTGTCCGATTAGTGAACAACTGGTGACAATGAACTGTCGTTAACCAAGCTTTTTATCAGAGAAAATTAAATGTTAATCCTTCTACAAACCTTAATACGCCTAATGAATTATTTAAATTGTGATTTGTCTTCGTAAGTTTGAGGTTACTTTCAGTTTAAGGTTAGATTCAGTAAGAGAGAGGAAGAAGAGGAAACTGCACATTCGGCATTCGGCTGCAGAGTGCTACGACGGCGCTGAAGGGCCACCAACTATAAAAAAATATTTTTCTTAATCTCTGAGAAAAAACTTAGAATTCTGAGTTTAAAGTCAGAATATAACATGTGGGCGTTCCACTCTGAGATTAAAGTCAGAATTCAACTAGTGGGCGTTCCCCTCTGAGATTAAAGACAGAATTTAACAAGTGGGCATTCCTCTCTGTGAAAGGAGTTAGAATTCTGAGATTAAAGTCAGAATTGAATTGTGGGCGTTCCTCTCTGGGAAAAAAGTCAGAATATAACTAGTGGGCATTCAACTCTTAAGTCAGAATTGAACTGTTGGCGTTCCTCTCTTATTGCAACGATATTATCAGCATATCGATGCTATCATCCCTACTATCTTAGACAAAAGAAATAATATAAATATAATTTCTGTTGGGGACAGCTCACTTACTCTACAGATCATAGACTATACGGTTAGGGTTCACTTACTCTACGAATCATTGACACAATGAGCCTCCAAATATGTAATTCTTAAAACACATGGCTCACTTACTCTACAAATCATAGTCTATACGAGCTTCGTAAATAATATTGAAGGTTCACTTGCACTACAGGCTCGTATACTATACGAGCCGATCGAAAATATCAAATAAATGAAGAGGGTTCACTTACTCTACAGATCATAGTGCCTATGAGCCAAGCGTATGAATTCTTGAATAATTCAGGAATAAGCTCGTATAGTATACGAGCCAAAATACTGAATTTAAATAAATTACAGGAGTAGGCTCGTATACTATACGAGCCTATTTCATCATAACTATTACACAAATAGAAGACGGCTCACTTACTCTACAGTTCATTGGCACAATGATCTGTAGAGTAAGTGAACCCTCTACAAATATTAGAAGGCTCACTTACACTACGGTTCATTTAGCTACTCGTCGCGCGGTTTGCAGCGCATCGTTGCAGGCGTGTATGGTAAACCAATACCGCAGTTCTGCCGTTCTGCCTTACTTCTGCTGTTTACTTGTCGTGCAGCGTGAAAGAGAGCTTATTATGTTAATGCATTGTTGAATTATAATTTTTAATATATAATATTTTTTGTATACTAACATTTTTAATTTGAGATTTATTGTAGTGTTTACAAAAGGAGCATGCACTTAGAAATAATAACTGGGCCGGGGTGCCAATTTAGCGGTTTTAACTAAGAACTAAGCTTATCTCAACACACCTTTATTTGCCATTTCATATATGACGAAGACAATTTTCAATATTTGAATCAGGAAAGCCTTTTTATTATCAAAAGACCAAAGCTACCTTAGTAAACTAATATTTATTCACAAAAATGTAAACCTTTGGAGTAATTTAATGATTTATTAAAAATAACATCGACAAAAGCAAACAAAGACAAACAACAAACTATTTTTTTTCACAAAAGATATGTTGTACTGGGATTTAAATCTGATATATGTATTAGATTTATTTAAGTTTGTTTATACTGTATTACAATAGTTTGTTTTACGTTAGAGCTTTTTTAGGGACTTATGTCCCTTCAAGCCACTAGTTATTATTAAAATTGTTATATTTTGATTTTCCAAGAAGACAATAATATACGGCACTATGTACAATGGAAGGTACAATGTTTTACATGATAAAAATGACAAAAATATAACAAGCTACATTGCCTACAATATAATATACTTATATTATATACTTACATGATTAATATACAATTTACCATCAAGATTTCATTAAAAAACTGACTTGTAATGCTCCCTTAAAGGTACAAAATATAAAAAAGGCTATACATACATCGACCGTACCAATGTCTAAACTTTACTTTCAAATGGATTTGTTGTTAAATTTTTTTATATTTATACATCATACAGAATTTAAATGTTTTTACGTGACAAAAATAACGAAATAACAAGCTACATTGCATACAATATAATTTAGGCTTGGGCTAATGGAAAACTGTAGTTTTCGCATTCTTGTCTTAACTTACAGATTCAATAACATCCTTTGTTTACCAAACAAGATATTTACATTTATTGAAAAAATAACACTTAGACAGATCAATGATTGTAAATTACGATGACAACTGCATTTACATAACGATCCTTAAACAAAGAGGTCCAATAGAAATCTCCTTTAGAACTATATAATTTATAAATACTGGCCTTTACAGTAATATGGTTTACAGTACTTATTAATTGCGCAGTTGTTAAATGCCCTCAAGAACTAACTGTGCAAATTTCTTTAGTGCGTTAGGTTATATGACAGATCCATGGTTTAAAAAGATCAAAATCACTCATAGAGAGGCTAACTGATGAGATGAGATGAGGGAATATACTTAGCTAAATATATAGTAATCCTGGCAATTATATCTCAGTACAATTATATCTATTGTACCAACACGTAAATAGATATAAGATAATTGGATAAGAAATCATTTTAAGAGTTACGAGCTGGTGGGCCCGTCCTACGTACGGGAATCGAGTTGTCAACTAAAATGGAATAATTCAGAACATCTAGTTTACACGCATAGACACAAATTCTGACAGTTTTAATGGGGAAGATCACCTTATAAACAATGTAACGTGACCACCTATTTATTCAATTTGAATATAGACCTTAAATATGGCGATATGCATTTTAAATCCGATAATTTTACCATAAAACAGCATTTGTGTCGATTTGAAAAATCTTGAAGTGAGATTGGCAACCGATTCACACTTGTTTTGAGTAGAGTAGCTACATGCCACCTTTAATTGCATACTGTACTACTTATGTACTTACCGTACCTCCGTGACCACTGAAACTTTTATGATAATTCTCTTCTATCACCTGCCTCTTCAATTTTAGATCCCAGTCTGAGGATGCATTTCATAACTTGATATTTCCCGTCTATCGTGTGGTAGCCTACTCCTTTGAATATACTTTTTATAAGTTTATGCACACCCTGTCCATCCAAGCTGTACCTACTTCTGGAAAGCATTCCTATATTTGGGTGTTAACACATTTCTCTTAGCTCTCTGTTCTTTTGTATTTCGACCTCCGGGTCGTTATCTTGAACTGGTCTGTATATTTTCTCTGCACTTTATTATCTAACCCAGCATTAAGGTTTTTTGGTTCTTTGGTCAGTGCCCAAGTTTCTTGAATAATCAATACTACGGGGATAGTGGGTATGGTATGAGTCGACTTTGGTTTCTGCTGCACCCTGCAGTTTATTTGACAGTTTTATAGAGACCTACTACACCGATTGACACTTTCATTACTAACCAAAATTTTAGTATGCCGACATACTCACAGAAGTAGGTACGTAAACCACTTATATCTTAAACAACTGCTGAAAAAATATTTCCCAAATATGAGTTGAAATTTTCAATGCATAAACTAAAAACTTACACAGATTGCATTTACGACAAAACTTGAGTAAATGCAAGTGTTTGAGATGTTTAGTTCAAAATAATACATTTCCTGATAACGCAGATCCTTCACGGTAGGGGAAAACTACCTAAATGTTTAAGGAAAATTGTATGTAGGCAAACGCCAACGAACAATATTTTTGTAAACAAACAACTCGTAACGTAAACATTTCAATGACAGTTATAAACCAGCTGTTAGTTAAACCAGCATTAAAAATACTTTAAATTGCTAGCGTCGGCTGCTAGACTTTTTAAAAATTAAAACTTAATTTCTAAAAAACTGAAACCCTAAACTAAAATTATGGCTTCGACATTCCCTAGTTCTCAAAATTGTCTTTCTTTCAACACAAAAATCATGAAAATCCGTCAAGTGGTTGATTCAGAATCGTGAAATAAAAAAACCCTGTTTCGTTTTAATATAATAGATTGTAGTATTCAGATTTTCCAAAGATTTCGTAATTGATCGTTCTATTGCAAAACATCAGATGATGCAGAACAAAATCATCATCATCATCTATCTATAATATTAAAACGTGACAGGGTTTTTTATTTCACGACTCTAAATCAACCACTTGACGGATTTTCAAGATTTTTGTGTTGAAAGAAAGATAATTTTGAGAACTAGGGAATGTCGAAGGCATAATTTTAGTTTATTACCTAATTTATCTTCCTCAGCATTTTCGATTGGTATCTTTGGATAATTTCTATATTTGAAGTACTCGCCGAACTCCATAGTTGCACTCCGTATGTCCATATTGGTTTCAATATCGTTTTATATAGCAATAATTTATTTTCTAGACTAAGTTTTGATTTTCTTCCGATGAGCCAATTTTTTAGATTAGATTTTAAATTTAGTTGTTGCCGTTTTCTCCAAATGTGTGTTTTCCAAGTTAATTTCCTATGTAAATGGATACTTAAGTATTTAACCTCAGTTACTTCGGGAAGTTGGGTGTTGTTTATTGTGACAGGAGGACAAGAATTTTGATTTAGAGTAAAAGAAATTTGGACAGATTTAGTTTCATTAATTTTGAATCTCCATGTTTTAAACCAATCAGTAATTATGTTCAGATTTTGCTGTAAATTTAGAGAAGCTTGAACTGGATCACGATGAACAGACAAAATTGCAGTATCATCCGCAAATGTATCAATTTCTACCAACTCATTTTCTGGGAGATCTGCTGTGTAAAGAATAAAAATATACGGCCCGAGGACACTTCCTTGAGGAATCCCAGATTCAATTGGATGTAGGTCAGTGAGGACATCTTGATATTTAGTTTGAAAAGTCCTAAAATTCTAAACTAGCTTTTGGTATGATATAATTTGCTTAACATAACCGCTGTAAACATTCAGCGTTTCTGACACAAATTCAGCACTAGGATAAAAATAAAAAGACATACTAAGCGTTGACTTATTTATGCTATGTGTAATGCTGATCATTGATACGTTCAATTCTTCGGTAAGAGGATGACAGATTAATTCAATATAAATAGTAAAATACTAGGATTTTCTAATTATTTTATAGGCCTAAAGCAATCTTCGATTGCTGGGTGAATA